CCCTCCCGGGGGGCCCCCAGGGGGGCCCCCGGGGGGGCCCCCCTCCCAGGGGGGCCCCCTCCCCGCAGCGCGCTCTTCAGGGGGCCCCCGGGGGGCCCCCGGGGGCCCCCTGAAGAACGCCAGTGAACCCCTTTCGACCTGCAGGGGGCCCCCGGCAGAAAGCTCGAGAGAGGGCCCCCAAGGGGGGCCCCAGGGGGGCCCCCGTGGGGGCCCCCAAGGGGTTCTGGGGGGCCCCCAAGGGGGCCCTCAAGAGCATTTGGGGAACTTGCTGGGGGGCCCCCACAAGTTGCTCCCGAAAGAGGCCTCTGGGGGCCCCCAGGGGGGCCCCTGGAGGAGGGTACTGGGTTTGTTGGACGTACGCGCGCTGAGGAAGAAGGGCCCCCTTCGCAGCGAAAGACAGCAGCAGCAGCAGCAGCAGCAGCAGCAGCAGCAGCAGCAGCAGGGTTTGCAGAAGGAGAGTGGGGGGCCCCCCTTGCCCCTTGCTGCAGAGGCCCCCCCCAATATCTTGAGCTGCGAGGGGGGCCCCCAGGAGGCCAGGGGGGCCCCCCAGGGGGGCCCCCAGGAGCAGCAATTAAGTTTAATATTGTCAACTCAGTTGGAGTACCAAAGAGAGATATTAGAGGTGGGGTTTTGATTATTTATTTAATTATTTATTTAATTATTTATTTAATTAATTATTTATTTGTTTATTTAATTGTTTATTTAATTATTTATTTCAATTCTTTCCCCTTTTATACTTTTGTCTTTATCTCGCCTTGCTTTCTTGCGCACTCGCGCAAGAAACTAGGGTTTAGGGTTTAGGGTTTAGGGTTTAGGGTTTAGGGCTTGGGGTTCAGGGTTTGGGGGAAGGATTTGGGATCTAGCTAGGGCTGAGCGTTTAGAACTTATTTCTAGGGCCTGCGGTCTAGGGTTTAGGGTTTAGGGTTTAGGGTAAAGGGTTTAGAGTTTAGGGTTTAGGGTTTAGGGTTTAGGGTTTAGGGTTTAGGGTTTGCAGGTGCGTCTGCACGCGTTGGAAAGCGCACTGCTGAGCGAATTGGAAATTTGCAACGCCCAAATAAACAGCCTCGACGAAAGGGCCCTCGAGATACAAGTAAAACCCTTTTTTAGGGTTTAGGGTTTAGGGTTTAGGGTTTAGTGTTGCTTTTTTGGTTTTTTTGTCTTCTACTCGTGTCTCTCTTTTTCTCCTTTTTATTTCTTCTTTTCTTTTCATCTTTTCGTCCTCTTTTTATTTTCTTTTTATTTTCTTTTTATTTATTTATTTGACTTTTCTTTTTTCTTTATTTCATTTTTAATTTAATTTAATTTTTTTTCAATTTGCTGCTGCAGGTGAAAATAGCAGATTTGGAATGCCGGAAACTCTCTTTAGTATCTTCTGTTTCTTTTTTGAAAAAACAAAATAAAAAAATAATTAAAGAAGTCCTTTTTCTAGACCAGTTGACAAGTTCCATGCAGACTGACAAAGCTGCTGCTGCTGCTGCTGCTGCTGCTGCTGCTGCTGCTGCTGGTGCTGCTGCTGCTGTTGAGGCGGGCGAGGCTGCTGCAGCGGAGCAGCGAGCCCCCTGCGGCAGCAGCAGCAGCAACGGCAGCAGCGGCAGCAGCAGCCACAGCAGCAGCAACGGCAGCAGCAGCAGCAGCAGCCACAGCAGCAGCAACGGCAGCAGCAGCGCGAACGGGGGCTCTGAAGAGAAGCCTCACCCCGCGCCAGCAGCAGCAGCAACAGCAGCAGCAGCAGCAGCAGCAGCAACAGCCAGGCAGGAGGTGCAGGAGCAGCAAACCATTACAGCGGGGCATGGGAGACGCCGCAAAACAGCAGCAACAACCCCTAGCAGCAGCAGCAGCAGCAGCAGCAGCAGCAGCAGCAGCAGCAGCAGCAGCAGCAAAACCTCCAAGCGAGTCGCGCAGCTTGAGGCAACAGTGAAGAGACTAGAAGCGGAGGTCAGCTACCTGCTGCTGCACTTGCTGCTGCTGCATTTGCCGCTGCTGCACTTGCTGCTGCTGCTGCTGCACTTGCTGTTGCTGCTGCTGCTGCTCCATTTGCTGCTGCTGCTGCTGCTGCAGTGAATGCCTGCATTGCGGTGGCCCCTCAGGTGGCAGCTCTGTTGGAGGAGATAGCAAGCCAAGGAGACTCCAGCCTCCAATAAACCCTTGGGGGCCCCTGGGGGGCCCCTGGGGGGCCCCTGGGGGGCCCCTTGGGGGCCCCTTGGGGGCCCCTGGGGGGCCCCTGTGGGGCCTCTGGGGTGCCCCTGGGGTGCCCCTGGGGGGCCCCTGGGGGGCCCCTGGGGGGCCCCTGGGGGGCCCCTGGGGGGCCCCTGGGGGGCCCCTGGGAGGCGTCTTGGGGGCCTCTTGGGTGCCTCTTCGGGTTTTCTGGAGGCCCCTTTGAGGCCCTTTTGGGGACCTCTTGGGGGCCCTTTGGAAGCCTCTAGAGGGGCCCCTTGAGGACTCTTGGGGGGCCCCTTGGGGGGCCCCTGGGAGGGTTTTGGAAGTCCTTTAGGGGCCCCTG